AAAATGGATAATTTCACCCCTATAAGGACCACTGCTCTACGATCTTACAGAACCGATGGAATGAAGTTCTCTGCATGTAACAATATCCATCTTTTCTTCATATCCTCTAATGACTGCTCACTTACATATGCGATGAAGAATATTTAAGATAGAATTTATTCTGACTGACTCAAAATTGCATCATTCTGATTCAACAAACAGACACTCCAAAAAACAGCAATAAAAATGAATAAACGATTAGATTGCATCTGTGAATTGAGCAAAATTCCGTTTCTTGAGGGATGATATAAAAGAATTTCTGTTTTTTTGGAGATGACAATGCTATTTCGCCCAATGAATGACTGCAGCATCGAAAATAAAAACTGAAACGGAGGAAAATTTGAATGAAAAAGCAAATGCACAGACAGTCTTCGAATTTTGATATTGGAAAAGCAATTCACCCCAAAAGGGAATACTCAAAAGGAGAAGAAATAATCATAAGCGCTGAAATTTTCATACTGCAGCGATGGGAAGCAGAAGAATAATGAGAAACTGAGATCGATAGGATCAATGAAAGCCGATGAGATTGATCGTTGATCACTTCCCAAATATTCATCCATATCAAGGCGATAGTAATGCAGTAATGTATATCCAATAATAGCATCGAGTGACCGATTTTTGAAAGGGAACCGAAAACAGTTGTCGTTTATATTATGATTCCCTATAATTCGCTAATCTGATCCAGTATATTATTATGTGTAGTTGGATATTACATGTAGTGTGGACGCACCTTCAGTTAGCAGTTGGACTTAGGAAATTGAACAGATAAAGTGCAAGTTCTAGCACTCTTTATGCATATACTCAAACAAACGGCATTTACAATTGCAGAGTGTTGATGAAAACAGATCGAAAGGGATTTCGTGAATGGATTTATTGTGCAGTATTGCGCAATAACTGCTTTGAGTATATATACGAATCACATGAGTTGCATAAATATGACAGAATTTCATGACTGTGATTACGAAGCAAGTTTTCTTCAGTGTGTTGATACTTGATACTCGTTTCGAAATACGTTTCAATTCATGAAAAAATACGTTTTAAAACGGAAATGGAAAAGTTGTCATTGAGAGTTTAGAACAGAGTAGGTGTTACGAGTTGATGTGATGAAGTGTGAAAAAATATACTCACAACTTGAAAAACAGGTAATTTGAAAATGGTACTCGTGATATACTTGTACAACTGTATCAATGATCATTCCCCATAGATCAAATGTGCAAAGTTTGGAGGCTCAAGTAGATTGACATATCTTTGGAAAATCGGTTATATCTGTTGAACTAAGCAAAATCCATCGACAATATATATATGATATTCTGAATGCTGAGAATCTGCTGAATCCCGCGGTAACAAGAAAGCATAGTGTTGCTGAGCAAACTTGAGAGTACGGGTTGTTTGAAAGTGGTGCTCGTGATATTGCTGTAAGGGTGTATTATTGACCAAGCTAAAGTGATCAAATGTGTTATAGAATGTCTCAAGTAGTTTGACATATTATCAGAAAATTGAGGATTTCTGAGTAATGGAGAGAAACTGATCGTTCACAGTCTATGTTTTTAAAGAGCTGAAATGCTCGTCAATCTAACATTACCAAAATGTCCATATGTACATAGGTAAACCTGAGGAGCATGGTCTCTCCAATATTGTGTTTGAACGGTGCTTTAGGTATTACAGATCAAGTCTGAATGATATACGATCAGAAAAATGAGTATCTCTGAGTAATGGAGTGAGATTGACCGGTCAAAAAATATATTTTTAGCAAGCAGAAATTCTCTTTGATGATTATATGGCTCTTAAACATGGCTACATCATATGTCAGTTCAGATCATCCGTATCCTCAGCCTTGTCAGTATCGTGAAATTTCTTGCTGTTCGCCTTATTGATAATGACTTCTACTTTACGGTAAGTACATATATTTCTTGTAGTTCTCATATGGTTTTCTTACGAAATAGCAGTTTGCTCTATATGATCACTTTACCATTGAGTTCACCCCACGTGTTAGTTAGTTTGAGATCGCCTGTATCCCCAATCATATCGTTGTCGTAATCTATCGATATCCAGCTTATAAAACATGATTTCTAATTTCTGAATTTGTATATCTCGTTGGACAAGGACTACAATACAAGTCCATCTACAAGTTCAGATTGCTTCATATTGTCACAAAATTATTTAACATAGCCATCGCATATGTAGTGTTTATTTAACTCTCTNCCCTGAATCTCCCATGGGTTGCGATTTTTATTGATATCTGCGTTATAGCATGACTTCTTGATTCTAAAATGTTTTCATCTTACTGAACATAAAATTCGATTGCTTGTGAACTCATTTCATCTAGAAATCGTCATTCATGTGTTCTGTCAAGTTTGTTCGCCTCCCTTGCAAGAAAGTACCAAAATATCTTCCCATTTATTTGATGTTATCGCCTACTTTTTACGGATATCCAATATTTTATTGTCTCATTTATTCAGCACATAAAATCGACAGTAACAATAATTAAAACCACGACATTGATAACAAAAATAATTACAATAAGAATAATAATAACATCGATGACAACATGAACATAAATAACCATAAGAACAGAAAGGAATAAGCTGAAACGAAACGACTATAACCATTCACGTTTAACTATGTTAGCCATAAGCAAATTTATCCATTATGCTCTTAAAAAGTGGTCACACAATCGCATTGCAGAAGAATCGCCGAGAATGAAATCAATTCGTCATTTCAAATACAATGCAAAATTATTCAATCATACGAAATTTTCAAAAAAAAAATTTCAAACGGAATTTCCAAAATGAAATTAACAGAGTACAAAAATTCAAAAAACAATTCGAAATTTACGAAGATGATTCAGAAGACTTCATTTGAACTCTATCATCATTCACTGTGTTGTAATCGATCGTGCCATTTCATTCCATCTCTGAAACAAAAACAACTTTATCCTCACAAATCCATCTTAAAACATTCTTCTAATCATCTCTGCAATCAGTCTATCTACCCGTAGATCAATAAGAAGCCAACAGCATTCATATCATTCTCATAATTGGCAACAACACCTCTTATAGATTGGCAATCTCAAAAATATTATTAATATTGTCTGAAGTTTCAATGAAATTCTCTCAAAGTTCTGAAAATACGCAAATAAACTGCACTAAAATATTTGTCCAAATTTTATTTTATAATCAATAATCGATCACATCGCTAACTTTTTTCTCTTCGGCGTCCAACTGCTTGAACTGACGAGTGGCCAGATGCACGATTTCGTCCTCGTCCGTAATACCGTCGTTCTGACTTTTCAGCTCACTTTCGACCGATTCAAACCATAACTGGAAACCAGTCTTTGCTGTGTCTGTTTTTGTGGCAGCACTTGAATCTTCTTTCGGAGTAGTGAAATTCAGCAGTGACTGCTTCGAACTGGAAGCCTGAAAAATACACGACTATAGCTGCTTTACTCCTTTTTGAGTTTAAATTTACAATGTTTCCACCGATTTCATGTCATTCGAAAATGGAATTAAACGAACCAGTTTCATCAAATGCATAAAATACAAGGCAAGAACAATAATAAGATATATATGATGATATTAAAATAACCATACTAATCAAACGAACAACAAATACAAAAACAATAATTACAATAATGAAAATAATAATAATAATAACTCATAATAATGCAAAACGTACCATTTGCTTTCTCATTTTTTTCGCTTTATTTGAATCATTCAACGGTGTTGTTTGGAACACTGATTTCGATGATTTACTAAAAACGGATGCTCCCGGTGAGGGTGTTGACAACGCATCGAATAAATTCTCTTGACTTTCATTCATCGATACGCTCGTGACACGTTTCTGCAATATTATCGATAACAACCATCAATCCGATACTAATTTCTTTCATACACTTCACTCAATACAATATCGCTCACTACATAATACCACTATACATCAAACCACTTCCATGAAATTAAATCCGTTACATTCATTGTCAAAACAAAAAATTCTTCGAAAATAATTTCGTTTACTACTCAAAATCAGAATGATTCATTCTTATTGAGTTCCTCAATTATATGGGATGCGCTAAGATTACAAGAGAGCACCATCAGATTAATAATAACAACTATATGAGACTAATCTAACCTTGAATGGATTATGACTTGTTTTCGAGGTAGCGAAATAAGGATTTATCGATGACTCAGTGGACTGAATCGAGGACACTGATGAGATATCATGTTGATCTGATGTCACGTCCATATTTGTTTCAACCGAATCTTCGTTTTCTTGTCTTTCAACTGATGCATCTTCGTTATTATCCTCTTGATTATGCTCGCTGTCGTTCACTAATCCACGCACATTTGCAAGCTTCCGTTTCCCGATTAAACGCTGAAACGAACCTTCCCAATTAATATACTAAATCCCAAATTACATATTCAACCATTTTATAATGCGCATGATCATTTCAGAAGATAATGATAATTGTATTTATGTTCATCATAATAAAGTTGAAACGTTTCAAACCATATGCAAAGCAATCCTCAAAAAAGGCACGTTATATTATTCAATTACAGAAATTCAAATGGTTTAAGCAGTATCAACAATATGATAACATATTACTTATTCAGCAAAATCACTCGAATTGAGATGACTTCATCTAATGGAAACTAATCTTATGAAGAAAAATATTTGCCCCGATTAAATTCACCTTTGGAATCAGCTTTGGTGCTAATACGGTTCCCTCATCACGGCCACCATCCTCAAAATGACTTCGATTCCTATCGTCTAATTCTTCAATATATCGACGATGTTCAATTGCAAGCGATCTTCTCTTCGTATCCGTTGAATTTGCATTCTTACGGCCAATCTCAGCGACCTAAAAGATACAAACTATCTGAATTCAAATTCAGAATGTCAGCTAAAGACTACTAAACTCTCACAAATCATATAACTAAATGAATGATTGAAAATTTTATCGAATAAAAATGATTCGAATAAAATAATAACAAGAAATACAACGAAAAAATGCATACAATAATGACCGTAATCAGTAAAATATTCAAACAATCAAAAACCTTTTCAACCAACAGAGGATGTCGTGTTTTCGCAGCGAAATTGCACAATGTCTGAATGATATTCGCCGTACCGTAAGCATAATTAGCAAATTCGGCGGCACGACATTCACGATCTGATTTGCAAGCTAACGCAAATAAACGTATCACCTCTCGAGCATACTCCCCATTGAATTCCTACAATTCCCTTCATTCAATACACTGACTCATCTTCAATGGACTGCTTTTCAATTTGAAATATACACAGAGAAATCTTCAGCGTGTTCATTACTTATCACTCTCTTTCGATAGTAAACTATGTTAGATAGATAACAGCTGACCTGAGTGTTCACATTCGAACTGGAACCGCAGTATTCAAAAGCACATCTCAACAGTTCACTCCGAATCAGTTTTTCTTCCAGTTGCGATTTCTCTGATTCCTACAACATTTTCAGATTATCATTATATTTGCAAAAAAATTCCAGTGATAACACAAGCACTCAAACTTAAACAACAATCATCTAATTCTGATGAAATCAATATCAAATACGATCATTCAAGTGAACTTTCCAAATCAATGTGAATGAATTGGAATGGAAATGAAACAAACGAAATACTACCTGATTACATAAAGGTATATTCCATTGAGCGATCGACGGTAAAAGTTTGCTCACAACAGGTGGATAGTGTGTTCCTTTGCAATACACATAACGTATCTCTTGTGTTGGATGCTCCACAATACCGATCATAAAGATACAATCGGATTTCGATTTGATCTCCGTTGAAAAATCGTAAATCGGTAACCAAATACCATTTTCGCTCAGTAAACGTACACAATCTATGCGAATAAACAATGAGTTGTTTTTAAATGAAGAGAACAAATAAACAGCTCAGGATTTTCAAATTTTCATTTTCGACTCTAATCACGGATTGACCAATTATTTCTTTCCCTATTCAGTGATACTTCAAAGAGTTCCAAAAGATTAGCGACAATCGCAAGTGATACAACTAGTTCTATAAAAATTCCGAATAAAATAGCCAAAATCTTCAGTTATACACGCTTTTGACATAATCGACTCGATGAAATATTAATAAGATTGAAATGATATAAATATCAATGAGATGGAATACGAAATGAAACGCTCACATGTACTGTCCATAGTGCACAACAAGCCATTTCTTGTATAACCAATCCATTCTAACGCCGCGTTTGGTGACAATGCTATAGGAGCAGTTTTCACAACGGACTCACTGCGAAACCAATGACCAGCCCTTATTTCATATCTGTTAATATTCATCTGAAATTTTTATTAACTTTACTGGATTGCGAATAACATTAATGTTATTGTTAAACTAACAAATATTTGAAACGAACATTGAATTGAGGTTTACTAATATCATCCTCATTGCCATCAGTATCCTCATCGTTCATTTCTTCAAAGAAATAACCACCATTCAGCGAGACTGTTGTGAGATAACTGCGTGCCGAACACATTGTTAATACGGGGCCTAGAAATGAATGAAGAATGCCTTAACAGTTTGACTGATCCAACTTATAACTCGATTTCCGCTTACTGCACATAATATTTGCTTTACATAACAACAAAACGAACTGAATACAATATGAAAACCCCGATAACATTATCACATTTAAAAAATCTTTAAAACTACCAATGGAACGACTAAAATTAATGCTAACCTGGATGTGATATGACCAACAATTGTGTGCCAGCGTGTGAGAATATCCGTATATGTCGTTTTGAAGTAGCCACGGCCAGGAATTGCTCAGCAATCGACATGTTTTGAATAGATTCTTTCGTAGGCATTTGCGTGCTCCACTCACGTGAGCCAGTATCCCAAGCGTTCACACACTGCACTCGTAGTTCACTAAAACTCAACAATTTCAAAAACATTTTGGAATTTAAGGATGAACTGAAAATAACTTATTCGGTATCAAAATAATCTCACCTCGGCGAGTCGTTTTCGAATTGAGACGCAAATGCGACCAACTCAACGCTTATGTCAGCAATTGTGTATCTGTACACTGAATTATCCATGATTATATCGGAATGTATAGATACATCATGCCATCGAACCTTCAATATTTAAAAAATCAAACGTGATTATGATACTCAGAACTGTTATGAAGACCAAGAAATGCCCGAACCTCGATAGTGTTTTCTTCAGCAGTCGAATAACTTGTCACTGTACCGTACTGATTCCATTTCTGAAATGGTCATTACATTAATTCCTTACTTCAGATCGTATTAAAGATAAAATTTAGGAAATCATTTCAGCGAAATTGAAACAAAAAACTCAATTAATCCGATACAAAAATGATGACAGAACCAGACAAGAGAATAACATTCACGATGAATGAATGTACTATAAAATGATATGACTCAAAACAAATAAGTAAACAAACTCATCAAACCCTACCAGATATCTCTGCGACAAATGTGTTGGTGATGAAGAAGTGACGAATGAATTCGGTATTTTGGGTGGTTTATAGGCTGGAAATGGCTCGAGTGCTCGCACGGGCATGAATGGTCGTTGTTCGATCGGAACGGATGAGCCAACTGGTTCAGGGCTTTTCTCGCTGACGTGAACCCCTTCATCGTCAAACCCGTATGCTCGTTTAATCGCACCCAAATCGGCTGATACTGAATTACGATTGATTTCCACTTAGTGTCATTATTATTATTATTAGTAGTATTATTATTACTATTATTATTATTATTATTATTATTATCGTTGACAACATCGTCAATCATATCATTCCTAATATAATCACAACAATTTTTGTTACTCAGTTACGACCATTAAATGAAACCTAAAAGAATTATTCAAAGAGACAAAGCAAAACTCACGTCTCGTGTCCTCGTCATCACTTTCTACAATAGCTCTTCGTTTCGATGAAGTTTTTTCCTGCCGACTTTCAGACTCACTTTCGGATTTAACTTCTTTCGTACATTTACTCAACGAACAAATATGCTCCTATAAGAAAGAAACACTCATTGAAACAACTATGAATATTCAGATATTTCCATCGAATTACTCATTATGTGCACCAAACAATTCAGTGAAATTCTAAGGAATTTTACAAAACAAATTACAACTATTGAAGGAGAACTACAAAGGTTATTAACAATAAGACAAACTGTCGATGAACGTCAGCAAAATGAAGAAATTCTCAATGAAAATATTCAAAAAACATGATGAAAATTGAGTGTAATAAATCGAAGAATTCAATTAAAGAATGATAATGAAAGTTATCTATCATTCATACTTCACTATCGGCGAAGAATAACGTTTCGCTGAGTGTCGGATGCCAAACCATCGAAGTGATAATCTTTGATTCACCATTTCTCACGTACCGACTCGATGACAACAACTGACCAGATTCCGAGTTCCACACGCAAATCGTACCGTTCATTGAAGAGGCGGCCACAAATGTGCCACATGATGATATACAGCACGTGCTGAACACATCCTGCAGTTGTAATACAACTGAATTATTCACTTGCATATCACTTATCAACACCATGGAATACTTATGTCAAAAATTGTACTTGAGCGGCTGAAATGGCGATCAGCATCAGCGTGTCCTCTTCGAACGTGTCACGTTTGAAACGTTTCACACCACCTTGAACCACCGCAAACAAATATTCACCACTTGGTGACCAGCAAATTTGCAGTCGGGATTGCGATGGTCTAAAAAATTTTTTGTTCTTATTCATATGAATAGGAATGAACCCGGAACTAAAGTACCTCAAATAACACATCAATTTCAAAAAGAAATATTTCAATCCGGAAAACGTCCACATGGAATTGAGCGCAAAAACTGACTCAATATCAGGGATTCGCGATGAGATTCGTATTGAGCGTAGTGGCTGTTGACCACTTTCTGCAGCAACTGGATACATGCGCAAAGTGCCGTCTGATGCAGACACGGCGAACAACTCCACTCGAGGATCGATTCGAACACACATTATTTGTCCATCACATTCCAATCGAGCATAATTACGAGTCTCCAATTGAATCACTTTCACGATGTGATCACTGAAAGAAACCAAAATACACCAAAAAAAGGCATCTTATCGAAACAAATCAGCAAATTGATCCAGTTTCTCGAGATCTATGGAATGATTCAGGTGTGCAATTGATTCGAGATGTTCTTTCGTTATCGAACAAATTGAAATTATTCATTATTGAAGTTTAGTTTTCAAATCAGAGACGAAATACTGAAGACGATGAATGAATGAATGCCTGAAACGAACACGGCTCCAGCAATCAGAATTGCGCCATCCGAAGAGACATCGATGGTGGTTGTATCCAGCGAGAATGATGCCAGCGGTAATGAGACCACGAAATCATCCAAAGAAAATCGCGATACCACTGATTTTTCCACATTTGTTCGTGGATCTGTTAACGTATGTCCCACATAAATACTGTCGCCCTTCAACAATCAAATTATTATCGATCAGTCAGATGTTCGGAATTGCTGGGGTTACTTCAAATTTTGAGACATTCTAGTGTTTTTCCATGTATAGAAATTCTACGAAAAAATAAAAATTTTGTGTTTATATCAAATTCTTCACTGAATGCACATACATGCCACGCGATCGAATGATGTGTTCGACCCTGTGCACTCTTTGGTTCATATTCAGCATCATCCAGTGCTTCTGCATTCCACAACCACACATCCCCGTCCACTCCACTCGAAATAAATGCCTGGAAAAATTGAAGTTGTAATATTAGGGCCAGAGTGAATTTTACCGGATTGTAAGCGTAAACCCGGCGACTCAATTTAATTAAAAATATTCGAATTGATTTATTTTCAGTTTAAATGCACTTCATTTTCAACATTGTAGATTAGGAAACTAAATAATTTGTGTAGCACGATCATTAAGAGAATGAAATCCGACTGTTTTTTGCTGATCACAGCTCAAGGTTGACGTAAAATTTACCATTGGACCCGACGAATCTTCAGCCTTATTCAAGCATAGATCAATGATTCCGGGCGAATGTAAAAATCGTGGTTCTGAGAATTCTCCACTCGTCATACCTGACAAATGAACTGAAAATAATTTGCGCCACTCGAATAACTACTTCATTTCAACGTGGAGACTCAAACCAAAAGCTAACTCGCAACCTAAGGTTCAGACTAGCATTTCGAATCCTTTAGAAGTATCAAGGAATGAAATTGCCGAAATCCTACACAATCCAGAAAGAAAATAAAACTCCGGAAAGATCAAAATCAAAGAGAGCAGATTAAAATTCCGGCATTCACTATTTCAAAATGATCATTTTGGCGCGGTTAGTGCGGCCATGTTCGTCGCTCACTCACATTCCCATATGATCACTATAGATCAAAAGACGCTGTACATAACTATTGAAATTTGAGTTTGATGTATTCAAGCTCACTG